ATAATTAATTCCAAAATCTTATTGTAAAAGTTTCAATATTCCAATTTTATCTGGACTCGTATATAACTTTTAAGATCAAAATCTTATTTAGCTTTTTGCTGTTTATTTCAGATTATTTAAACTCTTAAGCTTATGATTAAAATTTTGTTTCATTGAGGATTGAAGGCGGACTCACCCGGCATTTTCAAACTTGTCGATCCGAAGATCTCTAACAGCTTAGAAGTAATTAATGAGCAATTTCTGAAAGTGATCAGAAAGTGAGGTTTGTGAACATAGTGTCCTTTAAAAGTGTCTGCTGCACTTGTGAGCAAGATGGCTAATCTTGTCGTCTTCTGGTGCTGAAACCTGAAGAAAACGGCTGTCCTGCCTGTCTCGTGAGGAGCAGCTGTCCTCTCTTCTCCTTATCTGTCTACTCACTGGTTCCTTGGTCTTTCCTGTGGTCATCAGCTCTGCTTTTGCAGAGCCGTCTTCCATTCCCAATACCTCTCCAAGAAGTCCTTGTTTTTCAGTCCATTAGACCATTAAATTTAGTTGAACCAATATACAGTGAAACCTCAATTTAGCAGACCTTGATGCAATGGACTTTGGATGCAACAACAAATTCCTATTGTATTTACATTATTTGCATCATAGCATTGTCATTATTTGCATCATAACATTGTCACAAATGACATCTTCTCTAAGTTAACAGACAATTATGAATTAGAGACCTCCCCTGTTGGTCTATTAAACCAATATTTCATTATAATTAAATTTAAAAGAAGGCTAAAAATAAAATTTAAAAAATGAATCAAACGAATCCTAAAAATTCTAACTTCGATGTATATGCAAAGATTTGCATAAAAAGCCATAACTAAAATATGAAAATCTGCCAAATTTAATCAAAATGGGCTGGGCCCTAAACGTAGAATGATCTTCCTGCAAATATAAGATTACACAGAAAAAACATGCTTATTTTCATTATTGTACTCTCCATTAATGTAAAACATTTTTCTCATTTTTAAAAATAAATATTCTGGGAAAATATAGTATTGGTACTGCTTCATGAAGTATGGCAACATAAATCTGGGGTCTTTTTATTTTCTGTGTTTCTCATGCTGGATCAGTCTTCATTATATATTTGGATCCCACTTGTGAGATATAAGTCCTCTAGACTTATAAGTGGCACATATGAGCATCTCCCTTGTCACTCAGAAAGCTCAATTCTCTGCCTAATTTTATTTAAGTCTATATTTAAAAATATATTTTAGTTTCAAAAGCAGTTTGTCATTCCACACTGGAGGGATGGAGAAGGAGGATGCCATTTCAAAAGCAGCCTTTACTAACAGAGAGGACATACTCCAGATCCCCTCCATCAAACAGGGCCATCTTGTTGGACCCAGAGTCGTTCCTTCTCTATAGCAGCGCCTGCTGTATGGAACAGCATGTCTCCAACAGACCTGGAGGGCCGCAACCTTTTTTGTCTTTTACAAGGCTTTGAAGACATGGCTGTTTCCCCAGGCATTTGCACTAGGAGGTTACGCAAGTTTTCCTGATGGTATGGTTTTTGTGATTTGGAGTGTATTATTTTAACCTTGGGCATCATGGATTACATGCTGTAGTTTTAATGCTGGTATGCAGCCCAGAGTCACTGTTGTCAGATGGTTGGCTATATAAATCATTTAAATAAGTAAATAGCTAGTTGGATTATTTTTTAGCATTTAAAATGTCATGTAAGGGTTTTAGTTAAATTCATGTATTCAACAATACTGTCATATATGTTTGTTATTCTTGCTTCCTCTGTAGTTAAAATTGTGAGTACTAATTTTTCACAAGAGTGATTGTTTTTTTTATACGTGATCCAAGTACTTTGAAATTCAAATGTCAAGCTTGCTGACTTTGTTTTTTAATTGTAATGTAACAGTGGCAGCTGGTGCAAGAAAATATTTCTAGTTTTATTACAGTAGGCTTAATCAGTATAAAGTTGCTTTGTATATCTAAAATGTTATCTATTAGTATTTAAGAAACGGAGTAATATTTTCAATTCTGTAGAATAATTACTTTTATTGATAGATTAATTTGATAATTAGGGTAGAATGAAAGAAATAATTCTATAAATCACTGTTTTCCCGGGCATGGGGATCAGGAGGTTAACTGAGCTCATGAGATTGATTTGCATTTATTGATGATTTGTGTTGTCCTCAGTTGCCATTATGTGTTTTTATATTATTATTCATTTGTATTGAGTTTTTAACCCAATGCCAGCCAGCTAGAGTCACTATTGTGAAATGGTGACCATATAAATTGATTAAATAAAAATACAGAACTATAATAATCAGGAGATAATCATTATGGATGAATGTTCTGATTTCCTTTGCTTCAGTGACAACATGTGGTGATTTCTATCTTTTTTTCCAAACTAGGTGATTCTGGTGTGTGGGGATTGAAAAAAAACTTTGCTTTGTTGGAACTCCTGGAGCGATTGCAGAATGGATTGGGGGGTCAGTGTGGAACAACTGAAGAAACCATTGGCCTATCTGGAGAGGTAATAGTAATTCATTTTATTTATTTATTTTATTGCTGTATTCAGAGAAGCGTAAGCAACTGGTATCCTTCAGATATCTTGATTTATTTGATTGATTGTTTCATTGATTGATTGATTATGCACAATCAAGTCAATGTCAGTCCTAGTGAGCACATAGATAGACTTTCTCCAGGATGATCTCTCCCCAACTTGGGCCTTCAGGTTTTCCAGTAGTGCACCCATCATCACTCTAATTGAGCCTATCCACATGGCTGTTGGTCATCCTCTTTTTCCTTTCATTTTCCCCCGTGTTATGGACTTCTCAAGGGAGATGGGTCTTTGCATAATGTGACCAAAATATTATTCTTGCTTGCTGGTTCTTTTACTGTGGAGAGTCAATCCTAAAAGGCAGAAGGTATCTACTTTGTGATACACCTTACAATTCCCATGCCAATTCAAGTGGTTAGGATTTGTGGAAAATATAGTTGAAAGCATCTGGAGAGTACTAGGTATTTGTCACCTGGGTTGTTTTGATTCAGAAATGGCTGTTTGATATTGCTAACCATGTATAGGTAGTTGGTGACATACGACCGCAATTGGGACCAGAATTTCCGTCACTAAGCCATGTGGTCATAAAGCACGACTGCATTGCTTAGCAATGGCAATCCCTGCAATCCCGGTTGCTGCCATTAACCAAATCCCACAGTTGTTAGAACTGGATTATTGCAATGTATTTTGGTTGGGTTGCCTTCATTCTACCTCAGAAACTCCAGTTGATGCAAAATGTGGCTGCCAGAAAATGTGACTGTGTTGCACCCATTTTGTGTCAGCCAGTTTGGTTTCTAATTTCATTTCCAGGATGATTTGAAAATGCTGTTACCATCTTTAAATAGAAGTGTGGAACCTGTGGCTCTCTACATGTTGCTCAGTTATACAGTGGTACCTCAGTTCACGAACTTAATTCGTTCCGCGACTCTGGTCGCGAACCAAATTGGTCGCTAACTGAATCAAATTTTCCCATAAGGTTCAATGTAAATACGATTAATCCATTCTGAACCATATCTATTTTTTTTTAAACCACAAAAATATGAAACAAAGTACAGTACAGTACGAAGAGAGAGAACACTAACCTTGCTTGAGGCAACTTCTGGCATGGAGGACAGGAAGGCGGGTGGGGAGGCAGTTAGTGTTTGGAGGGAGAGTCCCCCTCCCTACAGGAAGCCACAACCACGTGTCAGAGCAGGGAAAAGGGCCGCGGGTCGTGTTCGTCACCCGATGTGGAGTTTGCGAACAGAAGCAAAATTTTGCAAATGGTGCTGGTCGCGAACCGAATTGTTCGTGAAGAGAGACATTCGTGAACCGAGGTACCACTGTAACTCTAGCAGCCCTAGCCAGCACCGTCAATGGTGAGAAATTCTGAGAGTTGTAGTTCAGCAACGTTTGAATTATCATAAGTTCTTCACCTCTGTTTTAAAGGGGCAAATGGTCTTGGAGCCAAATTTTCTAAAGAAGGCAATCCTGTGCATGTTTTTCTTAAATTATTGCCAGGGACTCTATTCATGTATGGTAGTTAGAACAGCTAGATTGGTGAGAACAAAGGACAAGATTTTTTTAGTAATAGCCTCTCAGCTACTTTCTCTCTGCTATTCTACATCTAATAGGTCTGGTACGGACCTTTAAGAAAGTTTTTGGAAACAATTTGACCTGGCCTGCCTTAGCTGTATTTGTATGGGTTCATCTCTAAAACCCAAGATATAAACATACCGATTTTTTTAAAAAAAATAAGGCGTTCTTTTCTTTACTTTTAGTGCATCATCCGATGTGATGAAGATGACACTCATCTTGCTTCTGTGTACTGCACTGTTTGTGCTACTCATCTGTGTACAGACTGTTCCCATCTTACACATTCTACAAAGACACTAGCAAAACACAGACGTGTGCCCCTTGCTGATAAGCCACACGAAAAGACGATGTGCTCTCAGCACCAAGTGCATGCCATTGAATTTGTGTGCTTGGAAGAAGGTTGTCAAGCCAGCCCTCTTATGTGTTGTGTTTGCAAAGAATACGGAAAACACCAAGGTCATAAAGTAGGTTTCATTCTTGATTTCCATCTGTGTTAATACATGACTGACTGAATGGGGAACATGTACATGCATTCCAATAACATCACTTTAAAGCTGCTTTTCTGCAGTAATACGATAGGATGATTACACATGAAGGTTTGTAATTGGAAATGCTGTCCGTATACAGTGTTTTTCTTTTCACTTTCTGTAATATTTCAGAGGTAACTAATATGTATAAACTTTATGTCCTTTGTTCAAGCTCCTATCAAAATCAGTAAACTTTTAGAAAAGTAACTTTTAAAGTTCCTCTTTAAATTTACTGTCTCCCTTTTTATTCTTTCCAATCCAATGGAATATTGGAAACAAATTATGAAAAGGGACTTGGGATTCTTTCTGTCTTTCCACAAGATAACTGTCCCAAAACTAAATAGAATGAGACTAAATTTGGTGTGGGAGGAGAAGACAACCAAAGACTGGGTTGGGAACTACAGAGAATATTACAGAAGGCATTCTTCCAATGCAGCCATTCAGGAAAGCCAGTTGGGTAGCAGCTTGAAATGTCTCTGACAGTTCTATTCCTGGCCCCCCTGCCTCTTCATCCTTTGACCTAGAGTGGAGCATATGCAGCTCACCCTGTGTTTCCCAATGTGCACATATACCCCAAAATATAGTTACCACACAAGGGGAGAGCAGAAACACACAGGTACAGAACATCATTAAACAGAAAAAATACAGATGCCTTTAATGGCCACTGCTGTTAAAGAAGTTGGAAAGTATGCTTTCCCATATCTATCATATTATGTGTTCATAGTAGAACATCCAACATTCTGTTTCCAGTTTTATAATGAGTGACAAGTGGGGTGTAGATTGGAAGAACTTCAGGAAAGGATGTTCATATTTTTTGTGTTTTTCCCTTAGCACAGTATTTTGGAACCAGAAGCAAATCAGATCCGTGCTTCCATTTTAGACATGGCTCACTGTATAAGAACTTTCACAGAAGAAATCTCAGAATATTCTCGGAAACTAGATTGTATAGTTCAACAAATAGAAGGAGGAGAACAAATCTTTGAAGATGGCATAGGAATGACCCATACAGAACATGTGAGCAATTTTGTAGTTTCTTCAACTTATGTATAATCTTTATTATAAAATCATTTTTCTCATCTTAGATTTCTTTTGGAAGTACTGATATGTCACATACTACAGTATTTACATGATTTATGAACTTTTTTGGGCCTTTCCCAGTAAATAAATTAATACCAGCTATGGCAGACTCCCACAAAGGTGATAAACTTCTTACAGAACTGTTATTTATAGGACAAAAAAAAAGATGTTAAGAGCATTCAGGAGATGGGAATATAATTGATTATGGAGAGTTTGGAGAGATGATAATGAAAAACATGATGCAGAGAACTGCTTTAAAACTAGGGCAAAGGCACACTCAGTAGGATTTTCATTCATTTCTTTAAGCAAACATTTAAAAACAGCTTTTTTGCAGAATGAATGGCAGAATAATGAATTCTATGATTTTTTTTATTTCACTCTATGCGTATATGGATCTAATATTACAGCGTTTCCAACATAGGAGATACAATACCAATTGTGAAATCTGAAAATCAAATGCATTTTGACCTTTTGTAATGTTGAAAACCTGCTGCCCTTATTCTTTCATTTTTTAATCCAAATAATGCAGGATGGTCACATGTTAGAAATGAATACTATCCGTATCAAGTGATGACTTACATGATTGAGCCTATACCAGAGAGGTGTTTCATGGAGAAATGCTGTTAAAGACCAAATCTGTTTTAGTATATTTATAATATCTCTGTGGCCTCTCTGTTTGATTTCATAACCCCACTTCAGGTCCCAGGTACTGCAGAGAACGCTCGGTCATGTGTCAGAGCCTATTTTTCTGATCTTCATGAGACTCTCTGCCGCCAAGAAGAAATGGCACTTAGTGTGGTGGATGCACATGTGCGAGAAAAATTGATCTGGCTTAGGCAACAACAGGAAGATATGACTATCCTGTTATCACAGGTTTCAACAGCTTGCCTTCACTGTGAAAAGACTTTACAGCAGGTAGGGGATCAATATTATAGCCAGAATCAATATTGGGGCAGACATGGATGTGTATGTCTTGAAATGCCAACTCTCAAATACCAATATTGTACAATTTGTAATTAATAAATATTGGACAAATTTGCTTTTATTATGTAAATTGTATGTATAGCTCAGCTTTTCTGAAATACTGATTTTATAAATGGCAGTGGGAGACAGGATCCTCCAGGCATAAAGCATGAGAAAAAGGGAGCCAAAAATGTCATCAGCAATGGGTCGAAGACAAATTCAAATTAAAACTTGAGTTTCATTCATGATTTGTTTTTTATTACAATCTTTGAAACCTGCACTTCTGAAAAGAAATATCTGAGGAAACATATTAGGCCTGGCTTCAAGGTATAAGCATCAACATCTGCAGTAAATTACAGTGATGTTGAATGCAAGTACATAAGCTGTGGTATTTGTGTCATGACATCATTACCTACATTTTGTCATTTGCCTCTTTGTAGACTCCCATGGGTAAAAATCTTTATGGGGGATATTAAATCATTAAATTATTAAAACATTTCATTATTAAAACAAAATTTAAATCCCATTGTGTCCAAAATGTATAAAATAAGTAAAAGAGCAATGGCTAAAATTGATTGGCTTTGTTTTCTGTTTAACCTTAGTTAAATTATATTTTGAGTATTCATGAGCAATCTCCCTGTATTCTTTCAACTGAATAAAGCATAACTTTTTTCTTGTTTCTAGTATACTGCTGCTCTGATCTTTAAGAGACAAAAGTTTTTGTGAACAATATATAGTCTTTGTATTTTTTTAATATTAAAGTATTTATGAAACAGTTGCATTTATTTCTGTTGCAACAGGATTTTAATCTAAACCAGTGACATATAGATTTTTTTACTTTGTTACAGTAATCTAATCCATCAGAAAATGTACAAATATATTCAACAGCATTAAATAATTAAATATAATCTCAAAATTAATAAGCATAGATATGAGTCATATAATTTTGGTGGTAAATGGAAAGAAGGTAGAAAGAACTATATATAAGCAATACAATTTCAAAAACATAGTGTTGCTTGAAAGTCTTTTTGATAAAGGGGAAGGAAGAAACGTCTAATTCAGATGCTGACAAAGAATGCATATCAGCAATCTGTTGCTGCAAATCAGACATAGATTTCTCCTTCTAAGTTCCATTTTAAATTAAGCCATATAGTTAAATGGTTTGAGGAGAGGGTGTATGTTAGAGGTGGGCAATGTTTCAACAATTGAGAGCTCACCTTCCAAAGGCCATCTGCTCACCTGTTGATAGTAACTCACATCTCATTTCCTCAACAGTAGATTATTGCAATGCTCTTTACAAGGAATGCCTTAAAAACTATTCAGAAACTGCAGTTGATGCAAAATGCAGCAGCCTGCACAGATAGATGAGAGCCACTGCAGCTATTTAATACTTGAGTTGTGACTGCTGGATGGGCCTCTGATAGGTTTATAGGTACAATTCAAAGTGGCTTTTAAAGTACTACATGGTTTGGCTCCCAGATATCTTCAGGACCATGTCCCTGAATAGACCTGACCTGTTTTGTATACTCATCCTGGGTCTGAGATGCATAGAGATCCCAGCATATGGGCAGTAAGAGGAGTATGGGCCCAGAAGCAATGATTTTCTGTGGAGGTATCTTGTGTCATAGCCTCCCACCAGAGATTTGATCAGCATTTAACTTGGAATTCTTATGTAAGGCTGTGAAGTAGGTTAATTGTGGCTGCTTAATTGTGGCTGCTTAATTGTGGCTGTTACTAAGTTTGGCACCAGGATTGCATTTTCATTGCTATCTCTGTTTGTTGTTTTTACTAATTAATATCTTAAATTGCAGTTTTGTTGTATATATCATTTTAATTGTACTGTAAATCACCAGAATTATTCTTCTCCCTCCTCCTCCTCCTCCTCCTCCTTTATCATCATCTCCTCACCAGAATGAGCAAGAATGATTTTTTCCACTCATTTTAAGTAGGGTTGGGGTAGGAATGGGAATCAAAGGCCTCTTGAAGGCAAACTACTCCTTTTTCTACCCATAATACTTTTTACTTCCTCCAAAAATGGCCAAAACTCTGCAACTGAAATTCAACCATTCAGTTGTCAAATGTTGGCAAAATGCTTTGGGAGCCTGGTGGTCAAAAGTGGGGCACTGCGCAAGGCAAAGCATTCTGTGGACTGTTAGTTCACCCACCTTGATGTAATTTCTCATTCTGTTACATGTTGAGAAGGATAACAGTGAGATGATTCTGTGCTTATTACACTAAATTTAACTTCCCTTTTTAGGATGACTGTAGAGTTGTTTTGGCCAAACAAGAAATTACAAGGCTTTTAGAAACATTGCAGAAACAACAACAACAATTTACAGAACTTGCAGACCATATTCAACTCGATGCTAGCATTCCAGTTACTTTTACAAAGGTATAGTTCTTTTAATCTCTAGGTTAAAGATTCAGAATATGAGTTTGGTTGTTTATTCTTCTCTCCCCAACAATTTGTGTAACTTTAAAACAGTTTGCTATATGATACAAGAACCTGTTTGGATAAGATGAAAACTATGCTTAAAAGGTTATTTCAGTTCATGATCTGTAGCTGAAAGTGGAACCTGGAACGTTGAGATCCATTCATTCCTTCTGTTTATGTTCTATCCCAGATGGAACAAAGAGCATACTGACTGTCACCCTCCATGAGCTAAGTAGTTCTCAAGCTGTATTTGGTTGAACCGTTATCTGCTAACGAAAGACTGTACAGCTTTTCATTTGTGTAGGCCTGACAGTGGGTACATTCATTAACTTATAGGCATTGACCTACCTGTTTAACCTATTATCAGAAAAGCAAAAAATTGCATTTTTTTATTTCTAATGTTGTAATTTCTCAAATATGGAATCTTCAAAATTAATCACTTTTTAAGATGTCATTCACATCTTACAAGCTCAGGACGGACAGCTTGTTTTGGTGGAAGGCTTCAGTAGTAGCTGGGGAATTCTTCAGGAGACCACCAAGGGGAAAGGTTATATAGTCAGGGTCATACACATACATGCCCAGTTTCTTCTCCCTTGCTATAGATACTTGCAAAACTCCACACTCAGATGGGTATTGAGAGTGTTGTACTCTATCCCCTATTTAACAAATGCTTATATGCATAGGTATATGCACACATACATGTGTACATATTCACCTCACCACCACCACAGTTGTGTACATGTATTTCAGCCTCCTTTCCCTTCTCTAGCAAGGATGATTAGTGCAGTTATTTTAAAAATTGCTCACATCTACAACAATCTAGACACCACAGCTTAGTGTAGTTCCAGAAGTGGAGATTTCTAAAATACTGGTTAGTGTTGCTTAATAAATATCAATTTGTTGACCCCTGAGGATGTTGAGAAGATATTTAAACAACATGCATGCTCAACCCTTGTTCTTCCTGGCTTGCTACAACAAAAGGGAGAAGACATTCCATTGACATGTAAATGACTGTGCATTAAGGTGCCTTTGAATGTTAGCTTCTAAAATGGACATGCATCTTTTTTCTCTACTGCAGGACAACAGAGTACACATTGGACCAAAAATGGAGATTAGAGTGGTGACCCTTGGATTAGATGGAGCAGGCAAGACTACTATTTTATTTAAACTAAAACAAGATGAGTTCATGCAACCTATTCCAACAATTGGTAAGTAATGGAGATTTTAAAAATGGTGAATTTCTTGGATATGTTTTTTTAGGAATGTGTGATTAAACGTCTTTTACTCCCTTAGGTTTTAATGTTGAGACAGTAGAATACAAAAACCTGAAATTCACTATTTGGGATGTAGGTGGCAAACACAAACTGAGGCCTTTATGGAAACATTATTACCTCAATACACAAGGTAAGAATGCTATGCTTTATGACTTAATTACTTTAAATGTAATTGTATCTATCATTATCAAAGGTTTGGTAGTAGTTGATCTAATATGAAAGTAACTCCTGTGGAAATTCATTGTATTTCAAAGTAGAAATATTTAAGATGTAGGTAATGGTTTTATTTGCTTGATTATAATTTCTGAGGGATTTGCAAAAATCTCTAAATTATAATGAGATTGTTGTTTATTTAATTAATTTTTTAAAAAAACATTTGTATCCCACATATCCTTCACAGAGATCTATGCAACTTACAGCAAATAACAGTAAAAGCATTTCTCTGAAACACAGAAACATAAAAGATAATACAGCAGCAGAAAAAATATTAAAAGTTTCCAAAACAGCAAGGAGGATGATATGCTAAAGGTCCTCCTCAGAAGGAAGAGTTTTCACTTACTTGTGAGGGAGGAAGTGAGACAGACCTTCATTGGAATGGAGTTTGAGAGCCTACGTGCAGTCACTGAAAGACTTTTCTCTAGACCCTAACCATGCAGGACATACAAGAAGGGCCTCCAGAGATGATCTCAGTAGACAGGTAGATTCTTGAAGAAGAAGGTAGTCCTTCAATATCTTGATCTCATACCACTGAAGGCTTTGAAAGTCATTGTCAATACTTTGAATTGTACTGAGAATTAAATTGGAAGCTCATACCACTATTTCATATGTTCTTTATATGGAGTTCCTGTGATCAAATGGGCTGCAATATTCTGAACCAATTATAGTGTCCCAGTACTTTTCATAAACAGACCTATGTAGAGCATAATGCAAAAATCCAAATAAGTTGTATGTAATATATGTGTCACCATGATGAGAATCCAGTTAGCCATATTACAATTTCAGTTACAGGTAGTCCTCGCTTAACTACAATAATTGGGACCAGAATTTCCATCGCTAAGTGATGCGGTCATAAAGCACATCACATGACCACTCTGCTTAGCAATGGCAGTTCCCACAGTCCACGGTTACCGTAATTAAGCAAGAGCCATGCAGATCATTAAGCATGGACCTCACGTGATTGCAACTTCCAACTTCCTGCTGGCTTCCCAATTGACTTTGTTTGTGGGAAGTTGGTAGGGAAGGACACAAATTGTGATCACATGACCATGGGGGCACTGCAATGGCTGGAACTTCGAGGAACAGTTATAAGTACCACTTGTACAGTGCTGTCACAAATTTGGTCACTGAATGAGTGGTTGTTAAATGAGGACTACCTGTAGCACTTGAGACATTGGGTTTGATCCAGGGTTACTTCTCCATGAATTAAGGTTTCTGTTCATGGCTAAACTGGATCCAGCAGAGCCCCCTCTTCCTACCACTGCCACATACACAGTGGAATAGGGCAGTATAGATATTTTCACTGACACCCTCATCCTCTTCCAGCTCCTAGTGCCATCTTATTTGGAGCAGATGGCCAGTTGGTTAAAACTACTTTCGTGCATTCCGTTTGCTGGTTCTTCTACTAACAGAGTTTACTTCTGCATAACCCTGAAGCCTGTTTCTAAAACTGTCTGGTGCCACATGCTGGGTTGTTTTTTTCTGGTGTGATTTAGGAGTCTGCTTCAAGCAGATGCCAGTTTAGAAATTTGTACTGAGCCTTAGCTTTCAAACTGAATTTAAAATTTAATTCTCCTCCTGCCCTCTAAAAATAAAAATATAGTAGGGTGAAACAAATTCATAACAAATGTAACTGCATAATTATTCTTTTTTCTGTAGCCGTGGTGTTTGTCATTGATAGCAGCCACAGAGACAGAGTCAGCGAGGCACACAGTGAACTTGCCAAGCTATTAACGGAGAAGGAACTGCGTGATGCTTTGTTACTGATCTTTGCCAACAAGCAGGTATTATAGCCCATTCTTATTTTTTCCTCTGCTTCATTTCCATTTTCTCACTTTGCCAGTATGAAATAAGAGAAAATACAGCATAATTGAAAAGCTGTTGTAATTTAAATGGCAATCCTTAAGAGCACATCAATTTATTATTTTATTAAAAATAATCTTTTTGCAGAATTATTTTATTTGCAGCTTTCATTGAAAGCTGGGTCCTCACTTCCATTCCTTCTCTACCTGAGTAGCTAAACAGAATGCTATCTGTGAGGAGCGTGACTTTCTGTTTTCCTTCTTCTTTTCCTCTCTTTCTCTTCTTCAGTCCATCAGAAGGTGGATTGTGAGCAAAATAACTCTTGGGTAGGGCAGAACAAAAAGGAACCTCTCTCCTCTGTTCCATTCACTGAATACCAGATCAATCCTCCAAAGAGCTGGTCCTTGTGTTACTTATTACATTACCATTAAACCATGATAAAGGCTGGTATGAACCTAGTGTCAGCCAGTAATTAGTAGAGCTAGAAATAAATTTTGCTTTCTGACACCAGTTTTTTGGCCTACCCCTTTGCAGTCATCTGTGTCCAGTTTCTTGTGCTGAGTTTATTTCTTCCAATTATTTCTGCAAATAGTTGGGACATTAGGCAGAATCCGTAGTTGAAAGATGAGTGGAAGGACCCCCTTAGGAAGGATCTTGATATACACCAGAGTTTGAATGCAGTTACAAGAACAGTTCAAATTATTAGTAGGGTTGCTTTCCCTCTTCCAAGATTGAAGACAGGCAGGACTAAACATTTCTGGCTATATACAAGTTGTAGCAGTGTTTTTATAATAAAAGTTGTGGTCTGTCTTTTCTTTACAGGATGTGCCAGGGGCACTTTCAGTAGAAGAAATCACAGAATTGCTGAATCTCCACAAACTTTGCTGTGGTCGCAGCTGGTACATTCAAGGTTGTGATGCCCGAAGTGGCATGGGACTTTATGAAGGACTGGATTGGCTTTCAAGGCATCTGGTGGCTGCAGGTGTCCTGGATGTGGCTTAAGAGAGCCAGTAAGCATGAAGACCAGTTATTTATTTATGTCACTTGAGATGGTCAGATATGAACTTCATCTAAGCCTGTTACTCCTTAAAATACTTTCGTTGGAATGCTAGACCGAAGCACAGTGTAGGTATAATTTGTGTAGATTACAGTAACCAAATAGAGTGATATAGTGTATTTGTGGGAAAGGTGCCTTAATTTCTTTTAAAGAAATTTGAACTGAGGATCTTCAGCTTCCCTATTAAACAATCCTTCTCTCAGGACTTAGCATCTATTTAATTTCACTTCTTTCAGTGATGGCCTTGCTGCATTCATTTGTTTCTCAGATTTGGATGCGTATATAACCATTATTTCACATTACCAACATAGTTTACTATATATTAAAGTGAAGCAGGAACTGAACTGCACAAATGCTTGGTTCTGGTTAGTAGCTCTTGCTGCTTAAAAAACAAAAACAAAACTCAAGCTCATATCTATAACACCGTACCAATCACAGTTTTTCACTTGTGCTATAACCTATTGCTTTTATTTATTTACTTTATTTTTTTTATTTATTCAATTTGGATGCCGCTTTTGGGAGAACTCTTCTCTGATTTTAGATAATTATACATTTTTGCACATACCATTTAGGTAAAATTTCCTATAACCCATAGGATTTTTTATCTGTATTTTGGAAAAGTTGTGCTAGTCAGAGGCTTATTTATTATTGTTATTATTTTGCAAATGTGGCTTACAGAGTATATATATTGATGCTGCTTCTAAAAATTGCATTAATAAGACACACATGTTCATGTTAATTGTCATGTACATTTAGAAATTTCTAATGTACAAATATCCCATCCATTCAAAGTTGATATTTAACAAAGTATTAAGAATAGTATCTGACAGAAGGTTTATGATCTGTTTGTCAGGTGAAATTTCTTTACAAATATATTGTGTGCTTTGATTGCACATGATCTGTTGACTTTATAACTTTTTGAAATCAATGCAGGATAGTTAATTTTTCATGCGCACATTGCTTGTTACTGGTGTGCTTTTGATAGATTATGAGCAGTCTTGAAAATGCAGGAAAAAGAAAAAGTCAGGAGAAAATAAGAGAAGTGAAATAGGAGCTCCACTAATGTAGTTGAATGTAGTTGGGATGAGAACTTTAAAAATTAATAGTGCAGGTTGTAGCAAAGACTGATGATTAAGCAAACTATTTGTTCAACTCCAGGAAGGGCAGGAAAGTTTTGCCCAGAAAACAGAATTGCATTCTAATAAAAATGGAAAAAGAGGAAACTGAAGATGGTCTCTGAATAATAAAACCAGAGAGTAGTATTCCTCAACTTAATGATTTCCAAAAATGTTGAAGTTATACATTTTGGATGTGAATTGTGGGAAATGTGTCAACACATACAAATATCATCAGCTTGGATGAAGAGTGTCCATCCAAGCCAGGCTGTTTCATTTGCCTTCTCCATTTTATATAGACTTCTGCCATGTGTCCTTCATGCTTCTTTCTCTCTCAACATTATCTTTCACCAAAATTCTCTGTAGGAGTTGGGTTTCCTTGAGTTGCTGGATTTCTTTTACATCTTTGGCAGGTTGCTTTCTCTTAAATTCCTTGTCATGAAAAGCAAGCCCCCATCCATAGATTGTCTGTCTTCCACTTTTTCTTTTTTCAGTTGGGATGTTCTTGGAGTAAAAAAACAGCACTCCCTTACAGAAAACCTACCAGGAGAACATATGGCAGATGTTATTTTAAATTATGCAACAAATGTTTCAGAATTTATAATTATTTATCTGCTTAAATTGGTAACTGGAAAACAGACTTTCTTTAAAAGCCTAAATATGTCCTTGCTGAAATCTTAGCACCGTTTCTTTAGTTGAGATTGCATTTCAGTCCTTTGTCATTTCCCTCTGTCATCTCAATCCTGATCAGAATTTGAGGTTTGTATTAAGCCTTGCAGTTCCTTCTCATCTGATGATACATGACTATGTCCCTCTTCCCTTCAGGATTAGGTATAGCTTCTCTTTAATATTTAATTATTCAAAATCTTATTTATGGGGAAATCTTGGAAGTTGAAGATTCTCACTTTAGTTTCCACATATATAGGACACTGAAGCCCACTATCTCCCTAGTGCCACATAGACTGCACTTTTATTTCTACTTTAGTTTGAACTTAGATTTGCTTTCAGATTACAAGTTTCTCTTTTTTTACTGTGATTCTATATAGATATTTCGGCATTTTCCCCTTGCTATTAGTTGGCGTATTGGTAGGGAAAGTTCTATGAATTGGTAATTTTGATGTTTAATATTTAATTCTTTGAGTATCTTATATTGCGTGACACATATTCTGAAGGTCATGCTTTACCCGGGTTAATAATTACACGTTAATACTTGAATTCATCAATTTTAACATGCACTGACTTTTAAGGTAGAGCTAGTTTGATAGAGTAACTAGATCTTGAGATCTAGACTGTAAATTTGGATAATTTTCTGAGAAATCTACCAGGAGTGCAAATTTGTTACTGTAATGCCTGCTAATTTTCTTGTTGAAGAGGCTGTTTAGTTTATACATACAAAGGGTAAAAGTCCAGATTCAGAATTCTGATTCAGTGCTGTATCAGCTGTGTTTTAAGGCTGCAATGGGTAAAGTAAATAGATGTTATTACTGATGCTATCCTAAGAAGCAGAACTTCCTTGATAGAATGTTTCTTACCAATGAAGTTATTCTTCACTGAAACTCTGAAGACAATTTCTTAAAGCACAAATTAGATAGAAGATATGTAAACTTGCTCCAAGCCTCGGTAACAGCCGATTAAAAAGACCTGTTTATGCCATTGAGAAGGGAGCTGCTGAGAACAAGGGGTGCAGAAGATACATTGAATATTGGAAGTATGTGGTGGAGTGGGGAGAACAATTAGTAGTGCTGATGGTTTGCCAGAGTAAGAACCTTACAGAAGATGAAACTAAGAGAGTTCCTTCTTTGGTCTGCTCATGGAGTATATAAGAGTCAGAATCTGCCATGCCTGCAGCTCATTCAGATTGCAGAAGGAGGCATTGTATTGGTTTATATTGTGATTGGCTTGAGACTTTGCTACTTGCTTCAGTAATGCATGGGCTGCAGTGAAGGATCAGCCAAGAATTTGGATGCCCCATGACAAGATCCTTGTTGAATGGCATTCCAAATTCTGTAGACTGTAACCAATGGAAGTTGTAGCCATTTACAACCCAGTCCTAGCTATTTGCTGTTAATTGCGTTCTCCTACTTCCCAATTTACACTACTGTGTTGGTACAAAGTGTGTCTGTATCTTCAAAATATTATTGAAGTGATTAAGCATGTTCTGTTATGCAGCACAAGCTTATGCTTGTGTGTTGTGCTGTTCAGTGGAGCTTAATCCTAGGTAACCTTCAGGATCATCGTTTTATCAACTTAGTGAAATATCAGTTTATCTTTAAAATATAATCATTTATTTTTATCTGAAACACGGTCAGCGAAAGACCTTTTAAGCTGTAGCCAAGTTTTTTTCATATTGTGTTGGAATAGCAAGTAATGCTGCATATAATCATCTTAAAAGTAAAAAAAAAAAAAATTCTGCCGATTTGAGATAAAATATTTGCCATTATATGGTTCCCTCCCTTTGGGGTTTATGTTTGGATGAAGGGCATGTTTTGGCATTCTGTAGCATTCTTGCATTAATGTAAACCTTTAATATATTAAAATGATTGGCTACAGATACCCAAATACTGAAAAAGTAGAGGTTATTTGTCACACACATCTCTTACCTGCCTCAACTCCCGTTCAAAATACACTGCAAGTTTAGATGTTTTTAGGGGCTAAATCCTAGGTAAAAAGCGTATGTCTGTGTGAAGTAATTTGGAAGGTTTTTATTGTATTTTAGTGAAGCCAGACTTCTGCTACTGTATTGCTTTCTTTTATTTCATTTTAATGCTATTAAAGTGCATGACACCACTTGATATGCAGCAGTTCAAAAGGCTGAATGTAAATTGTTGTATCATCAGTGGCTTTAAATGCTATCGCTTTACTATTTGGGCTCTTTGCTTCATGTAAAACTCAGAAGGTGTTGAATTTAGGAGAATGTGCAGAAATAATTGTTGGTTAATATTGACAAAAGTTGAGCTCTGCTGCAAATATAATGTACTTATATAAAAGTATTATTTAACTGAAACTCACAAAAGTTACTGTGAACATAACTATTATAGTTGTCTGAATTCAAGTTTTACCAGAGACATTTAGCATCTTGTTTGTACTGTATATAGCTTCTTCAAGCAGAAATAAAACTTGTTTCATACATCATTGACCTTTAATTCTATTTAGTGTACTAATGTGTGCCAGTTTTTAAAAGTGTTTCAGCTGCAAGGAAATTTTTAAGAACTTCGTATAAACTGTTTTAAGAGCGGACTGTATTTGACTAAATATGCCTTTGTAAAATAACTGAAACAGCTGAATTTTGATTAAACTTAAATGCAATGTTCAACAATAAGAAAGGAGTAATATGGTATCACATATAAAAATAACAGCCTATGTAACAATGTCCAGATATACTCTAGCTTTTAACTTTGTCATGAGTTATTTTCTAATTACAAACAGGAATGAATCAAAGGAAGAGGAGAGGTTATTGCATAAAAATATCCACCTTCTGCAACTGTAATAGATGTAAAACAGCTCACAAAAAGAAATATTTAACAATTGTGCTAGTGAATCATAATAATAAAATTATTTCATCAAAATTGTGTTTCTCCTTTGAAGCTTATTCAGGTCAGATTTTCTAGTGTATGAGTCTGTGTGTATTTGTGTGTGGTTAAACTAATACTTGGTGAATTCTTTTAGAGCAGGCTAAAAATCCCATCATATACTAAGCTGATGTAGCATGTATCTGAATGGATAGTATAAGGGAAGTTCCCCCAATTGACTGACTGGACTATGTCTATAATAAAGATTTGTACATATTAAAACTATTATTTCTCTTTCTAGTTGAGTCATTAGGTTGTGAAGAGCCAAGCAGGATCAGACCTGATTAGTATTTAAATGAGAGATTACCAATATGCCCCTATAGACTTGAAATGGAAGTTTTAAAAAATATGTCCTGGAAGAAGGCAGTGGCAAACTCTTTTCTGTATTATTGCCAAGAAAACTACATGGATGAGTGTATGGAGTCACCAGAAAGAGTGTGACTCAAAGATGACATTACTTAATTTTCCAACACTGTTTTTGAGTCCACAATCAAAACCATATTCTTTATTATAAAAAATAGAAAACAACAAAAGTCAATATCAATACAATGAAGATAGATAAGAATAAGAAGTTGCTAAAAAGAAATCAATACACATTAAAATGAATTATATTTTAATAAATGTCATAATCATCGTCATGATATTGAAAATGTAGAATTTTTACATTACAGAATTTATTTTTCTCGTATTGATACAAAGACATAGCATTATCTTTACTCCCATGTAGTCTTAGATTCTGTGCCAGGTTTTTCTGTACCTATCATCAATCTATTTATAGTATGTCCACCTGGGGTTTTGGCAATTTTTGGAGAACCTCCCAACAGATTTTACAGGATCTTCTGTTTAAAACACTAGATTAAATTTCACACAGTAACTCATTATTGGCAATAGCATAATATCTGACTCAGTCATGTTCTCTTCATAACCGGTGGCCAGTGGCCAGGGCTTTGTCAGATTTATCCTTATAGGAACACTAGCTAGTTTTGCTCACAATACACTAAGTCAAAAATCAAAGGAACCACATTATAACTTACTTAGCATGTATGTAAACCAGAACTCAGTATGCTTCCCCTTCACACCTCATACTGATCTATAATACTGTAATGTGGTTAAGTTTACAGTGATGTATGAACAAGCCCTGTTTTGTATTTAATTTTTGCTACAAAAAAATTAATGTTTAGCTTATGCTGGGCCACTTCTATCTTTTGGTCTCATCTTTTGTACATGCTTTGAAAGTGTTACAGACTTAGAAGAAAGAAACCATTCTCAAGAAATCTAACATTTCCAGCTAATGTCTACTTTATAACAAGGGTAGTATCATTAGCCGTAATATTTTTTTCCTATTAGGTCATTAATTGTACTGGGCTAATTCAAAGGTCATAAAAATGTGCAAGCTTTTTAGTCTGCCAAATCATTTCCTCACACAAAATGATATAATGGGTTATAGAAAGGAGAAAACTGGTAAGACAGAATGTGGAATATAATTACATTCAAACATGCAAATTAGCCTCTACCTCATTTCTTAGTTCACAGTGTTATTACTAAGCCTACATGTTTTTTTAAAATACTGATCTCAATCAGATTTCTGCATAAAACTATAGTTTGAGTAATTGTGGATCAATTTGCACTTACTAATAGTAATCCTGCTTGGCACACCAAACACTAGTAAAAACATTTTTGATCAGATCTGAAATGCTGATATCCAATTTTAATTTAACATTTTGTGAAGTCATCCAGAAGAATACTATTTCACAAAGTGAGACGTTGGTACATAAATCTTGGGCAAAATGTTTTATACCCAACCAGAACCCACCAGTAAGAGTAACATAACAATGTTAAAATTGAATGGTGAGTGCTTCCTAGGCCAGCTCAGCCAAGTCATTCAAAAAAGCCTGGAAACCAATTAAAATCCATACATGACTTATATACACAGAAAACACAAAATACACTGTTGTTTTAGTAAGGTTGATTTTTACTTTTATTAAAAACATGTTAAAAATATTTTTCAGAGCATTTTGAAGACATGACTGAAATCTCTTCTGAATTTTCTATAGTAGAAATACTTAGATTTCCATATAACTGAAATCCCTGAGGTGTTTTTTAAATTATCATTATTATTATTTCACAGTGATATTAATAATGCTTACATCTTCATAGGGTTTATCGGTTTTTGGATTAACTTTCACGTTTGAAATTCTCTGAACAACTTCCATTCCTTTTGTTACTCTTCCAAACACGCTGTGCTTATTATCCAGCCAAGGCTATATGTGGTCATAATAAGTTCACATGCCAAAACAAACAGAAAAGCATTAAAACTGTAAGTAACGTTATTGACAAACTATAAATTATAATTGAAGGAATATGTATAAACATTATTAAAATACCTCTTGGCTGGCATTCTAGCGAGGCATGGAAGCAGGCAATTGTACATATATCCCAAAGTATGCAGGAATCATGTACAGAGAAATAATTCTACTTAACAGGTTTTGTAAAGTTATGATGCTTCTCCAAATGGGTAGCAGGACAGAGAAAAGAAATCGGTTTGCCACCTTTTGTCAAAGGAAATGACTGATTTTATTAACGTGGATCCCAATTTCTGCCTCATTCTTATGGCAGCATAAAACAGATGACAGTTCAGTATAATGCAATTGCCTCATTTCAAAACAAGTGTGAAAAATGCCACTCAGTGCTGCTTAGTGCCGCAGGCATCTCAGGAACTGACTCAATTCCAGTCTTAAATTCTATGGGGAAGTGCTTAGATTTCTTGTTGCTTTTGTGTACCAGTAAACAGCAAATCTGTCTTTGAGTGCTTAGATTTTCCCTCTGCTATAGTCTGAGAAAAGCTGTCAGGATTGGACCTTAAATCTCCTGTAATCACACTCAGCAGATAAAACATGGAGCCAATTAAACTTTCTTCAAATTCCTGTTCAGATCCTCAACTATCTCAGTCCCGCTTGTCACTCACACAGAGCTGTGTTCATTTCAGCTAGGGTAAGGGTGAGCAACCTGAGGCCCCAAGGCCACATGCAGCTCTCAAGCCCCTTTTCTGTGATCCCCAAAGAGCTGGCAAAAACACTGGCACAGTGTCCTGCTATTCTGAGATAGGAGATACAACAATATAAGTGGAACTCTTAAAATAAGCTTAAGGAAAATTGAAAAAAAAATCCTGCTTCTGTCCACTTTGCATTATCACTCTGCCCATTCCACAAACTGTCATAACCTTCTGAATATGAAAAGGTTCCTATCTATACATTAGAACAACTGACAAACGGCTGACATGTTACTCACCGTTGGTACTACTGTTACAAAGAACTGGGAGCCATTGGTGTTTGGTCCTGCATTTGCCATACTGAGAGTATAGGGCCTATCATGTCGTAAAGTTGCATGGAACTCATCTTCAAATTCTCCTCCCCAGATGCTTTCACCTCCCATGCCAGTGCCAGTAGGATCACCAGTCTGAATCATAAAACCCTGCATTGAGCAAAAAATGCAGTCTTAGGTTAACACTATTATTTTAATAATGTAAGAACAGTCCTACTGCCTCAGTTTAATGCCCAATTCTTCATCAACCTGCACACCATACTGATGAATGAGATCTCCCTGAGAAGTTTACAAGCGGAACAGGAATGAAATATCAAATCACTCTTGAGACCTAAGCAGTTGGTATTCAGGGGAAGTACCATGATTACTAGCTAGTGAAAGATACAGCCTCCATGAAATTGCGCAATCCCCCTAAACTATCTACTTTAGAGTTATTACATACTGTCACATAAATTTCACAAGTTAATTATACAGTCTCATAAAAAGTATGTCCTTTAAGCCAGTGTTTATCAACTTCTGCAAGTTTAAGATGTGTGGACTTCAACTCCCAGAATTCCCTAGCCACCATGCTGTGAATTCTGGGAGCTGAAGTCCACACATCTTAAACTTAGAGAGGCTGAGAAACACTGCTTTAAGCAATCCTGGATATATTGCCAATCAATTTCATTAGTTATACCTAGAAAGAAGGAAAATATTATTCTTTGCTTTCCCCATAGCGTGAATACTTCTTTAATTCTCTAATACCTCTCTTAATTCTGTTTCTTAATTCTATTTCTAATGTATAATGTGTAATGCAGTGTCTAGAAACCATAGCAGTCCCACACATACAACCAAAAGAATGGATCCAGTATGTAGATGACTCCTTAGTCATAATAAAAAAAGGAACAACTAGAGAAGACATAGGAAAAAATCAATGACATCTTCAAAGAAATAAAATTCACAAGGGAAGAAGAAAACAACACACTACCCTTCCTGAATATCCTCATCAGCAGAGGAAATGACAGCAAATTAGAAACGCAAGCCTATTGAAAAACAATCCAACCTCACACAAAAGAGCTGTGTAAGAATATTATTCAGGCAAGTACAAACACACTACAGCAACCCAGAACACCAAAAAGAGAAACAGACCACCTATACAACATCTTCCAACAAAATGGATACCCACGCAACTTTATCAAAAGGTGCCTGACTGCTCAACCTACACAAGCTATGAAAAGGATACTACCACCATACATCAAAAACATCTCAGAAACAACCAAAACAGACTATTATAACCACATGGCATCATCGTAACACACAAACCAACTAAAGCCCTCGAAAACAT